TGACAAAAAAGTGGGCTGCTTCCAAACGCTTCTCTGCTTTTTTACTACTTTTGTCGACGATGTACTACGGGACAATGTCCATTCGAGGCTTGAGTGAAATTCGACTTAAACTTTAGTAACAGATCCTCACAAAGGATTACAGTGCTCCGTTACCACAAAAAATGCAAAGCATGAAAGAAATTGTTTTGAAATGATGACAAACTTTAAGGATGGTAGCTTGGTTGATATGTGCAGTGATTTAACCATACATAGTTCATTAAGTACTAACCTTCAAATTTATGAAACCTGCAATATATGATCTTCTATATTATGTACTTTTTGCAATGATAAATAATTGCAATTTCTCTCCAGGGTGTATCTCTGAAGTTAAACTGTTATATTTAACACGTATAACGTAAGAATAATGTTTTTCGTAAGGCTAAGCTAAAGGAGTCCTTAGACCTCCCTTAATTACAACGTAAAGTGCATCGGGCCTTCCTAAGAAAAATGAGCTATTTAAGTATCGACTATGAAGACTACCCAAATTTCCAGAATTATTTTCTTCTAAATATATTTCTACAAAGAAATGAAGGAAGCGAGCATACTATGTTGAATTCTACACGCAAGTTTCGTAAAATTTGCACTTTTTATGATACGAGTAATTCTAAAAATTTACATGATCACAATGTTAGCCGCATGTAGCTTTGCAGTGGAAGGGCGAGCTGTTTAAGGTGAGCCAATGGACGCCATATTTTGTGTCAAAACGACATGAGATTTATCGCATCGATTAGTTTCAGATTTCAGCCGCGTAGCCCATTTCAGTGGCGAGGTGTGAATGATCGATTTTCGATATTTCCCCTTTAGAAGCTATGGTAAAGAATCGATGATTAAGGTGTTTTTTGCGACCACTCTTTTTATTGATTCTTTTTCATAGGTTTGGTAGGTTTCATAAGTTTAAATGGCGAGTGGATCGATTTATCGCAAAGCACGCCACGCCACTGTCATTTTTATCGAATTATATGAGAACGCATTTCTGTTGTCTTGAAACTAAAGAATTCACCTACCATTGACAAAGTAATTCGACGAAAGAAAGGCAAGGTTTTTTTGGAGGAAAAATGTCGCATTTGAGTGCAGTTTCGAAATCAGCACGAATGCGCTGTTTCTTCTCTTGGAAAAAGCCAGCCGTATGTTGAATTTGTTTGTCAAATTTGGCAGTTGAATTTTTCAGTTTCGTGACAACAGAAATGAGATCTCATAATTGGATGAAAATGGCAAGTAGCTGAAAATATAGAACTAATCGATGCAATATATCGCATTTTGTTCTTACTAAAAACACGGAAAAAAATTAAATGTTGATTTAGCATTTATACTGTTAAAAAGATGTCCGACAAGTTTCAAATGCTGATTTCACATTTTAACAAATGCTAACGGAACTACGCCCACTGCAAAACGTACAAATTAAAATGTTATGTTAGCATTTTTGTATCGTAAAATCAGCATTTGAAACTTGTCGGACATCTTTGTAACAGTATAAATACTAAGTCATCATTTAATTTTTTTCCGTGATGGCGTCCATCGAATCACCTCACGGAACGACTATGAACACGGTTCCACCGTCAGAAACGAACCATCTCCAAGTTTCTTCTTTTTAATTATTCCGATGCAGGAAATTCCGTGAGGAGTGGCTGAGGACGGTAAGGAGGCAGAACTCGTCAAGTGTCGGGGGATGTTACAGCGGCACCCCTCCACGGACGAGTCACCCTTGCTACTCTGCCCGACTCATTACAGTCTTAGGAGCCACCCCTACAAGATGACACGCCCGGAAGAGCATCAAACATCCCCTAGAATTTTACAGCTCGTTAGCGGGAAAAGACGACAAAGTAACGTTGAAGTGAGGCCGCGATGTATAATAAGGTGGCTAATTGGCAAGACACCTGGAAGTTCGGCCCTGGGGGTTACCGCGAAAAAGGGAGGGGCGTAAGGAGAAAAGAGTCACGAGGGAACTTTCAAAGAAACAACGCATCGTCAAAAGAAGCGGTTCTCAACCTGTGATCTAAACTGAGAGCAAAAATTGTAATGATTCCTTAGCAGATCGATTAAGGTGATTCGATGGACGCCATATTTTGTGTCAGAACGGCATGCGATATATCGCATCAATTGGTTCCATTTTGTCGGCTACTCGTCATTTTTCTCCAATTTTGAGATCGCAATTCTGTTGTCAGGAGACTAAAGCACTCACCAATTTTAACAAAGAAATTCAACTTTATAAAGCCGTGGTTTTTCAGAGTGAAAACATCGCATTCGAGCGCAGTTTCGATATCTGTATCGAATGCGATGTTTTTTCTCTAAAAAACCACGCCTTTATTACGTTGAATTTCTTTGTTAAAATTGGTTGTTGTCTCCTGACACCAGAATTGCGATTTCAAAATTGGAGAAAAATGACGAGTAGCTGAAAAAATAGAACCAATTGATGCGATATATAGCATGCCGTTCTTGACATAAAATATGGCGACCATCGAATCACCTTAACCTGTAGCTTCTGGATTTTAGAACATGTCGACGGTGTAAGTTGGCAATCACATAACTCGGTGTTTCCTACGATTCGTCCGGAAACGTCAGCCGTGTTGAATATTGTATAGCATCCTGGTGCGCATGGAATGGATGGAACGACGAACGACTCCTCTTGCAAAATTTTCACATATCGACGGTGAAACTACCAAACCACGTATCTCGGTTTACGACGTCGCAGACTTCCTGTCATACTTTATTTTTTAAATGAAAAACTATTTAACGTCCAGCCTTGAAAATTTCTGTGATTTTTCCACTTCGCGCGGAGAAAATTCTGTGAAAATTTCAAGGAATGATATTGATTTGGTCTACTTCCAAAAAATAAAATGTGAGCGTAGATTTTTAAACACCGCAAACGAGACACGTGGTTTGGTAGTTTCACCGTCGATATGCCGTAGTAGTATCGTTTTTAAAGCGGGAAGCTTCGAAGAGGGCATTTTTCCAACGCAGATTGTGTCGTTAGAAGTGGATTTTTAGACTTTTTCGAGACCCTCATCATGACTGTTGAGCCGCAAGTTCGGTTAGATACATCTGGACTGCATTTTGCAATTTGGAACTATAAATTCTGGCCCGGTTTAAAAACAACGTATGTGCCATTAGTTTCCCTATGCACATGAGTGTTTTTTCAGATGAGCCAGAATTTATAGATCCAAATTGCAAAATGCAGTCCATCTCTCCTTCTCCTTCTGGCTGAAGTTTGACATAGGCCCATTCCTGTAAAATTAGTTGAAGAGCCACCTTGATTCGGGGGAAAAACATAAACACACGACCGATTTATGATTTCACAACAAAACGGTATCAAACCTCGCCCTGAATCCGGAAGAAAAATCTTTTAGGAACCACTGCTTCAGGACTTAAGCTTTTTTTTTTCATTTTTTCTTTACAAAACTTTCTTTGAAGATTGATTCCGTTCTGGCTAATGACTTCAAAATTAGCCTTATGACCAACTGACGCCGTTCTCAGCTATGAACTTGCTCTCCTTGAAGCCTTGGTGACATATTACTGCACGATCTCTCACCATCCCCCATCAGCTGATGCTCTCTGTGAACGTACCAGCACTTGAGTTGTGCGTGTACCAACGGCCTCTCGGGAGTTAATGATATGGTGTCGAGAAAAAACCCTCAGGCTGATTGTCAGAAACTACTTGAAAAGGGATTTTCGTTCCTTTTCTTGCCCTTATTTCGTCAAAAATGCGTTGACAATGTTCCGAGGAAAGGCTCTCTGTATTTTACGCAAAGATCAGCAGGGTAACTTCCCGTTCTTGATAGGAACAACATTTTCTTCTAGCTAATGTCATACGATCAAACCGCCTTATCAATGTATCAAGGTTAGGTGTCGTGATTGGCTTATTTGACGCTTGGACTAATCACAGTATTTGACCTTGTTGTATTGATATCGTGGTTTGATCGTGTGACATAACTTATTTATTTGCTCGACAAAATCAACGTACGTCGCATTGGTCAGCTATTAAAATAGCTTTTCAGTATAATGGGTCAGTTGCGCTGGCCACAGAATCATGTTCTTTGGTTGTGTTCTTGATTCTTGCAGATCAGCTAAAAGTAATAAGATTTGTCCAAACGGCAACTTTCTACGTTCAATATTAACCGAGATACGATGCGGAAAAACAATTCTGGTGAATACTCATGTTTCATAATGCTTAAGATCGCACTTTATTTAATGATCCATTCAGTCGCGAACATAGAGAACTTTTCTAACTTGTCTCGGAAAAAATATTTTATCGGAAGAAACGCTGAGGCAACGTTGGAATGCTCATACGGCGTCGAACTACGACATGGGCTTTTTAAGCCCCATTATTCGATGCCGCGATTATTCTAAAGCGAGTTCGAATAATCACGCCAAATACAGTGCGGCCGGTGTTGAACGCATATTAGCGCCTGCAAGACTGTGGGAATACTTCGCGCATTGCGCCAAACACTGCGATCAGCGTGACCCGTATATTAGCCCCTACAAGACTGCATGAATACTTCTCGCATTGCGCCAAAAGCCGTGCATCCGGCGCAGTTCTACTGTGCTAAGTAAGAGCGCCGTATGAACATTCAAAAGTTGCCAAATTTCTCGAATAAAATATTTATTTGCAAGAAGATTTTTTCATAATTTACCTTGACATTTTCAGACACCTTAGAATAAATCGCGGACAAAATTGTCTGAAATTTTTGAAAAATAAATATTCACCATTTTCCCAGTATATTTGACTTTTATCGAAAAAAATATGGTACAAAACACGATTCTGTGTCCGCAGCGCAACTGATCCATTAGTCTCTTCCCGCTTAAATCTCCCCCCTCCTTTTCTTCATACGGTGCCTCTAAAATTTTCGCAAGAAGTTCCTGTTATAAGTAACTGTATAAACAATCCTTTTACATGTATGTCAGCGATGATTAATATTTTCCTTTCCTCGTAGTTTTTTATCATTTTTGTATGTTTTTTGTTTCAGGATGAGTCGTTGAATTCGAACCCGCGTTCACCAAGTTCAAAAACAATTCCACACGTTGGACCATTTGCTTCTTACCCGTCTTCCCATTCCAGTAGCTCTCTTCAAAGGTAAGGACTTGGCAAGTGGATAAATTTTGTTATGTAAAAAAATTCAAACAGATCAATGATTTTTCCCTCTGTTTCATCGATCGACAGTTGACATTTTACTGAAATTGCAGCCGTGTTTTTTCAACCAAATCCCTCGGATCTTGTGAAAAAACCTGTTTTTTACGGCTCACACTGCATTCGCGCACGAAGAGAAATGTCCACACAGAAGTTTGGTTAATACGGGAAGTGAAACACAAACGAATCGTAGCCTTTGGTTAATAATTTCAAGAGAAAATTCCCGTTAGTTTTCTTGGAGAAAAATATAAAACGAGTGGTGAATACCAACGTCGCAATCGGAGGAATGCATTTTCTCAGTCACTCCATTGTTTTTTGCGCTTAATTCACCGCAAACTGTACCAAAATCAACACAAAATTTGTGTTAGTCTGTGTTTCACTTCGTGTATAAACCAAAAGTAACACAAAAATACAAATATTTTGTGCATTGAAAAATGTCGCGTGAACATCAGAATATTGCCAAATTTCCCCCGGTGAAATACGTGTTTTTAAGGAACATTAAAAAATCCTTAAAATGTTTAGGCTCGACACTGCATTATTATTCCTGTTTGTGACACTGCGAAGGCCTAAAAAAAGGACTCAATCAGAAACGGATTCGCATTGTCTTTACTCTCAATATTATTAACGGACTCTATAACGGTTTAACTATAACCCGTTGAAATTTATGTATTACTATAAGAAATTGGCAACGTCCAGAGTCTCATAAGGCGTTCTTCCTCGCTATTTCGGCACTACGGCAGCACGGTTTTTGGCCGGGAGGCGTTAAGCGTGGCCGAATTCCAAGATCCCCTCTCTAAGTCCATCAATCATTGGGATTTTGACACAGAAACATAATCACCATTTAGTCGAGCGGGTGAAGAGCCACCCCACCCCTCTCCTTCGCGCCATCCACGCACCTATCACAATGCCTCCTCCGCTCCCGGCCAATCTGAAGTCTTCCAAGGAGCTCTTCTTTCGTCTGGCGCATTTCACCCTCCAGCGTTCCCAGATTTCGCCGGTGGAACGAATCGAAAAACGAGAAAACGGGCGAATTTTTGCGAAGCGATTCGGTCGACTTTTTCAACCGGATCGACAGGGTTGCAAACCAAAGGAGAAAAACGCTCAGATGCAGTCAAGAACTGAACTTAGCTGCTTGATGAATTCTGACGTGCGTTTTGCATCCATCAATTTTTCAACCCATCTCGAGAGGTGGTTCGAGCTAGAGTCCCTCTATACTGAGAGTGAAGACAATGCGAATCACTTCCTGGTTGGTTCCCGTATTTTAGGCCTTCACAGTGGCACAAACGGGAATGAAGATTTCATTTTCACCGGTAATAGATGAAATATCATAATGCATTACAATCAAAACAAGAACGATCGAACAAGAGTGAAAAGGTTAAAGGCAAAGAAGTGCGTAGTTATTGGTGCTGCCATCTACTGGTTGAGTTTTTATAATCTGTTCAGCTGATCAGATCTTGTTGATGCTTTGATAATAACTGATGATAAATTGATCAGCTTTTTTCTATTTACAACCATGCACTTTTTTGCTTTTAACCTTTTCACTTGTGCGATTGTTTAATTGTGCCTGTTTAGATTTTAATGCATTGTGATATTTCATCTACTACTGGTGTTTCTCTGTGTTATTTTGTGATTTAGCGCTGAGGATGGACTTGATATCCGAAATGTACATCCACTGAAACAATAAACAAATAGCGTGTGAAGGCAAGACTTTCTTCTTTAATTTAACAATTAACTCGAAGTAACCGAAAAAACGGGAATTTTCACTCTGCTGGTTTTTTGCCGTTATTGTGGTCCCTTGCCGCAGTGGCCGTAATAGGTTAATATTTCTCAAATAATCTGACAACAGGGCAGGTCTGCATCTGAGGCGTCCCAAAGGATCGTCGTCAAATTTTCGGGACTCCATCGCCCGACTATAATGTCCCTTTCAGGCGCCGCCTTTAAGTCGGGGTCGGGTCGTGTCCCAGAACCTTTGTCACCGATTGTCACCCGACGGGGCTCCGGAGGGATTTTCCGCTGCTCATGAAGTCGGAAAAGCTCCGCGGAAGGAAACGAGAACCGGAACGAAAATGGATTTCGAACCTGTCACGCATGGAGGAAAGTCGGACGCGAAAATCGGTGTCCTTTAAGTATGGAGAGAAATCCCCAGTAGGAGGATTATTTCGTGATCGAAACGAAGAGCATAATATTCAGGATGTTTAGCAAAGTTGAGTCACCGAACATACTCGGAGGCATCAGGGAAAATCTGGGCAAACTTTATGAAATTCGCGAAAAAGTTGGACTAGATCTTTCAGTACACTGTTGAGAATCCCGGCCCGAAATTCACGCTTACTCAGTTGCTATTTTGACTACCTGTTACTCTGAGTGCATGGATCCGGCGCGAATTTTGCGCTCTGGTGGGAGTGAAAATCTGACCGGCAAACGTAAGACGGACCTGCCGCAGCATGGATTTGAACGGCGTTTGAGTTTAGCAGAGATTCCTTCTTGGCTTAGAAGGTTAGGGATGACAAAAATCCTGCCGCAGATCATCAGTAAGCAAGAGCGTTTCACCGATGCGTCTCTACTCTCAGCTCTAGTGGAGAAAGAAAGAACTTTATTTGCTTATGTACTGGCAAATTCGCCATCATAATACCTATCGGCGTAGCTAAGCGGTAAGGCACTCGCCCCATGACCCGAGCGTTCACGGTTCGCGCCCTCGCGGTGGAAAAATCTTAACGCCTTGATCATATTTAGAAATGCCGCGTAGGGCATCGCAGGGTTATTTTTTCCAAAAAATCTGAGTGAGGATTGCATTTTGATTGAAACGTAATCGAAAAGGGCTCCTCTTGCTTCAGAGAAACTTCTGAACCCAAGGTCCAGGGCAGAGTTAAGAAATTTCATGAAAGATTACAAAAAGAAATTTCATAAGGAAATTTCAAGAAATTTTATGAGGAAATTTCATGAAATTTCTTGTGAAATTTCAAGAATTTCATACGATGAAATTCCTTTAGCAACTCTGGTCCAGGGTCCCTGTATGAGGGTATACAGTAGTATACAGGGGCCGTCCAATAAACTTGTTTTTTCTTGGAGGAAAAAGCAGACTCCAGACAGGAATTAATGTAGCATAGTGTTCAGTTAACATCCTTTAGTATAAATTACGTAAGACCTTTTCCCCATTTTTTAACCCCCATACTTCTCCTTGTGCAGCACCGTAAGGCATCCCTTAACCCCCCCCCCCAAATTACGTAAGTCTCGACTAACCCCCCCCC